GGGGGGGGGTTGGATTCCCACTAGTTTTAATTATCCTATTATTGCTAGATATTTTTCTTCTCTCGATTTTAAATTGAGTTTGCATTAAAGGGATATGATCTATGAAACCAACTCTTAAGATCATGAAAATAAAGACATTTTTTCAAAGAGAATATACATAAAAGTAGTAAATACATCGCTACATTTGATAATTTCTATAAATGAAATTACAATAACAAAATCACGTTGCGTGTGAAATTGGATAAAAATAACCATATGTAGTATTTGTAAGCCAGATATAGTAGGCGTTTGGACATAAATTTCAAAAAAAAATTCAAATTTGAAATTCCGCTAAAATTTAAATTACCATTCAAATATAAATGGAAAGTGAATAAAAATACATGATAATGACCGGTCAATGTTGAAGTCTCTTTCTTTTTTGTATTTTTTCTCTGTCTACTCCAATTAGTGCCAGACTGAAAACTGAAAAGAAAAGAAAAAGAAAAAGAAAAAAAGTGCCAGAGTGTGGTTGCTGACAGAGAGGCGAAGGGCAATTTTGTACTTTAACAACCTTAATTTTTCAGACCAAGATAATAAAGAGAGCACCCTCTAAATCCTCTATAATTAGATAAATAAATCCAAAATTAATTACTGAAGATTACAGGCTTTGGCGGGATATCTCTTTCTTTAATCTTAAACCCCCTGATTTTCATTATATTTCAAATTTTAACCCCTATATTTTACTGCTATTTTACGCAACAGCCATTGTCTTTTCTGTCACCTCCTTCTCTTCTTTCTAAAGATTCTCAAGGTGCTTTTTACCTTGCATTTTAAGCTCCCCGCAGATCTTAAAATTAGGTGAAACCACTATTCTTTAGCTCCTTTTCACACTTATCTAACACCATTGTTTTTTCAAGATTCTTTATTTTTTTATTTTTTATTTTTGTTGAATGTGATGTTTGAGCTTTTGAATATTGAAATATTACTGTTCATGAAGTGACGCGTGGTTTCTCTGCTGTAACTGTGAAGTGTTTGTTTCTGCAGTGAAATCTACTAACAAAAATAAAATTCTTTTTTCTCACTATTTGAGGAAAAAAACAACAACAGTTGTGTAATAGTTATACTTTACTGTTTTCTTGGACTTTTGGGGGTGTACTGTAAATATAGGTTTCCTAATAGATTCCCATTTCTCATTCTTGCTTTTCTTGTTGAAAAAGATCTCATTTTTTTTACTTTGGGAATTTTTAAGGTTTTGTTTGTTCCTGGGTCCAGGAATATCTTGGTTGCATTTTGTGGGGTTTAAAGTTGGATTTTTGAATTCACATTGTTTGAATTTAGGGGTGTGGATCAGAAGAATCTTGCTGGATCTTTAAGTCACTCTGCAAAACTGGAATAGGTATTTCTGGGTTTAGCTCAATCTTGAGCTAAATGTACTTGACTTTGTGCATTCCACTTGCAAATTTCAAGATCCAATTTTTATTTTTGTGGAATTTCTTCTTTAGTTGAGACCTCTTTAGTTTTTAATTGACTGCTTGTTTGGATCAATGCTAGTGTCTTGTAGTTAATTATATTGGAAACCTGTTATAATTAAGATGATCAGCACATTTTCAGCCTAAATTTTAACTCTAGCTTCTTCCCTGCCTAAAATTTTACCTCCCTGTAGGCCATGCCTGAGCTGTGCGATAACGGCAAATGTTCACATGCTTTTGACTTAGTTTCCTTTACTATGCCTTACTTTTTTGTAGCATGAATGTGTAATTTGTGGCTTTAAGTAGGTAGCTTGGTTTAATGTGAGAACTTATGTCGAGTTTTTCAAATGTCATGGCTTCCCGATTCCAATAGAAATTATGAGAGTAGAAGCTAGACTATAATATTTAGTTTATAATAAGGAGTATCATATGCTCAGAAGCCATTTCAAGGTGTAATTGGTTTATGAATAATTCTTGTATCTTCTTTCGGTGAATTATTGATTTTACTTTCGTTTCTGACATCTCTACTACTTCTCATGAATTGTTCAGTGGAACTGAGATTGATATTGCTTGGATCTGAGGGGAAATCATGGTTTGTAGCTGATGCTAGATTGGATATGCAACAATGTCGAGGAGCACTAAGTGGAAGCTTGAAAAGAATAAAGTGAAAGTGGTCTTTCGGCTTCAATTTAATGCTACTCACGTAAGTTGAACTCTTTTTATTTCAAAAATTAGCAATTTCTGGTGGCCAGATGCACATTATTATAGAATGTGATCATTGTTTCAGTAGCTGAGAAGTAGTTTGCTTTTAGTCCTTCTGGCGGTTAAATGCTTGCTAAAGACAATATGAAATCAAAGGTCAATAATGCCTAAATACAAGATAGAGATATATCCTGCAACATGTAACTCCTTGGCTTTTGCCAATTTCTTAGGATTATAGCAATAATAACATGATTGCTCTGGCAATCTACACTATGTATAACTTTGCCCTAATCTTGTGCTAATGCAGAATTTTCAAAGTCCTCCCAATCATTACCTTTTCAGTGAAGTATTAGTTACCTAGTCAGTGGTACAAAAGCATATGCTAGAAAAATATTTTATGTCTAACACCTATAAAGAAAATTGTAACCATTGCGAAAAACCAATTAGTTGATGCAAAGTTCACTGTGCTGTGTTGTACTTTTGGTGATGGATTTGGTTAAAACCAGAAGTAGCTAATCTCCAGTATACATTACCATGGAGCAAGCATTGACTAATGCTCGCCGTTTTGGTGTTACAGATACCACAAACTGGATGGGACAAGTTATTCATATCTTTTATCCCTGCTGACTCTGGAAAAACAATTGCAAAGACGACCAAAGCGGCTGTAAGAAATGGAACATGCAAATGGGGTGATCCAATTTATGAAACGACAAGGCTTCTTCAAGATGTCAAAAGCAAACAATTGGATGAGAAGCTATACAAACTTGTGGTTGCCATGGTAGAATTTTGTTTTTTGTTAGCTTCTACATTGCTTTACTTTATCAACAGAAATGGATAAAAAAGAGCTTTTCTGACAGCTAATCTAAAGAAATTTAAACTTGTCTTTTTGTACTATCTGAGTGGATTAATTTTCCTCTTTGATGCTTTTAATAGTTTTCTCATTGAATCTGATAATACTCTCAGGGTTCTTCACGATCTAGTGTCCTGGGCGAGGCAACAATTAATCTTGCTGATTATGCTGAAGCATCGAAGCCTTCTGCTGTTGCTTTGCCTCTTCAAGGATGCAATGCAGGAACAATATTACATGTGAGGCAAATATTGCTATTCGTGGCACTTCTACTTGACTACCTTCAGCATGTCTAGATGTTGTGTTTTAAGTCATAATGATGTGCTATAATAAATTGTTCTTGGTTGATGTAAGAAAGTTATTCTCAATTGGCATGTTTAATACCTGAATTAATAATCACTCTTAATTTTGTGTAGTTGCACTGACATCCTTTTTTGTTTTCACCATTTCCCATCTTCTAGAATTCCAGAACAGCTCTTAGACAAAACCAAGGTCACTAATGCAGCTGCAGTTATATTAAATTTTCTAGGATTAGGATAATATTATATCAGCACGAATGTATGATATCTGATCTACCAGTCGATCCTTGCCCCTCACAATTCTGTTTAATATTTACTTTTCTCTGTCAGTGTCAGTTCTGAATTTATAGTTACTCATTTATGAGTATTTTGTTATCTATTTTTGTCACTTCTGTTTAATTGCATGTTATATCTCCAGGTCACAGTTCAGTTGCTAACCTCTAAAACGGGATTCAGGTAGCACATCTTAACATCTAAGTGGTATGATTTTTCTTATGAGCAAGTGACAGAAGGTGCATTTGCTTGCAGAGAATTTGAGCAGCAAAGGGAACTTAGGGAGAGAGGTTTGCAGTCAGGATACGATAACAAGCATGATGACTCTGGTACTGGGAAAGTCCTATTTTCCGGAGAGACTGGACATGATCACATTGATAAGGTCTGATTACTTTTAATTCTCCCTTTGTACTTCATTTAGTGATCTAGAGTCTCAATTCTAGTTTTAAAATAGGTAACTACCATCAGCCCAACGTGAAAATATGATTTGCGTTTTTGATAATATAAATGTTATGAAGGTTTCTGAATCACCAAAATGTTAATTCCCAATGCACTGCAGTTGGTCAAATCAGCTTCTGTGACTTCCTATATGTTCTTTCTTGTTTCCTTGCCCTAGATCGTTGCCACAAATTACTGTACAAGGGTGCCGAACTCCTAAATATGGAGTACGCATTACTGGTTGCTACTACCAGCTTCATTTAACCTATTAGTTGACCGTGCCAATTTTGCAATTTGAACAAATGTTGTAGAAAAATAGAACAAAATTTGTGGTCATCCAAGTTACTTGATTTCCTTGGTTTTCTCTTCGTTCAGTTTGCAAATTTCTTGATCTGCTTCTTTTTCATATCCTGATTCTGGTTCCATTTGCTCTGGCGTAGGTTAGTTCAAGGGTCAGATTCAGACCAGAGGCTAAAGAACTCTCTTCTGTTGAGGAGGAAGTGGAACTAAAGGAGGAATGTACTGACTTGACAGCTGGATTTGATGGTTCTTCCAATACTTCAGAGAGTCTATATGCCGAAAAGCATGATTCATCAAGTGCACATGAAACTGATAGTCAAGGCCAGCTGTCAGAGAAAGGTAATAAATCTGATAATCAAGCAACGGCACAGAGTAGTAGTTCGGTTCATGGATGGGTGTTGGACTGCTCAGTGGATAATGAACTGGCAATTGCTTATGAGGAGAATAATAGACTTAGAGCAAGCCTGGAATTGGCAGAATCATCAGTTTTTGAGCTTAAACTTGAGGTAAGCACTCTTCAAAGTCAAGCTAATAAATTGGGTTCCGAAACAGAAAAGTTTTGTCAGCTGCTTACTGCTGAGATATCCTCTAGCGTGGAGTTGGCAAAAGAGGTTTCTGTCCTTAAATCAGAATGTTTAAATTTCAAAGATTGTATTGAAAGACTAAGAGCTTTGAAATCAAGCTGTCAAAATCGTGGTGGTGAAAGTGGTGTTGCTGATTCTGGCTTAGTTCAAGATATACAGGTAAGATGGATGAAAGGAATTTCAGTGGTTGAAGATAGAATCAAAGAACTTCAAAATAAAGTTTGTCTTGGATTCTATGAAAGAGACTACAGGTTTCTTCATTCGGAATTGGAGGCGTTGCTTCAAATTCTACAGGAGGTTAAACAAGGAGCAAGAGATGAGATGTTATTGCTAAATAAAGTAACATCAGTGGATATAAAGGAGACTACAGCGAGAGATTTACCCAATATTGAACAGCCATTGTCAGGGCTTGGGTTGGAATTGGATCTTTGTACACCAGAGAATTTGCTTCATCATATTGGCATACCCCCACTGGTTACTCAAGGAACTGATTCCACAGTTGCTATTGATGCAATGAAAGCCAAAATTTTTGATCTGGTAAGAGAATTGGATGACGCAAAGGTTGAAAGGGAAAATCTGCTGAGAAAAATGGATCAGATGGAGTGTTACTACGAAGCTCTTGTTCAAGAACTCGAGGAAAATCAGAAGCAAATGCTGGCAGAGTTGCAGGGTCTAAGGAATGACCATTCGACATGCCTTTATACCATCTCGAGTAGCAAAGCTGAAATGGAATTAATGCGACAAGATATGAGTCAGCGTATTTTACAGCTTGCTGATGAGAGACGTGATTTGGATACACTTAATAAGGAGCTCGAGAGAAGAGCTTCTACTTCAGAAGCAGCTCTGAAAAGAGCCCGCTTGAATTATTCTATTGCAGTAGATAAGCTGCAAAAGGATTTGGAGCTTCTTTCCTTACAGGTGGTGTCCATGTTTGAGACTAATGAGAACCTCATGAAGCAAGCAATTCCAGAACCTTCGCAACCACAATTCCTTGGATATTCAGATATTGTTCAGAATTTAGAAGAATATGATAATACAGAGCAGTTGCCAATTCAGGATCAACATGTAAGTGCAAGGAAACTAACACTCAGTGGAGATGTCCTTACTGATGACTTGAAAAGATCACTTTGCTTGCAGGAGGAGCTTTACAAGAAGGTTGAAGAAGAACTTGGTGAAATGCACTCAGTTAACTTGCACTTGGATGTATTCTCAAGGGTTTTACTTGAAACTGTGATTGAAGCAAATGCTAATGCTGGAATGATGAAGAAAGATATGGGCGAACTTGCTCAGCAGTTGGAGGCTTTGAATCTCTGCAAGGAGCAGTTGGTGGTAAGATTACAGGCTGCTTTGGAAGATGTTCACATTTTGCATGAGGAGAAAGCAAGTTGCTTCCTCAAATGCAGCGATCTTTCTCTGCAGAATCAATCTTTGGAAGCTGAACTCGTGAATCTTTCAAAGGCAAACTGTCTCCTCACTGAGAAGGTTATCGAACAGGAAGCAATCATGGTGCAACACACAGCAACTCAGAGAAGATATGAAGCTTCTGCAGAAGAAAATAAAGCACTCTCCACTTCATTGAAACAGGAATCGTTGAAAAGCAGTAGGCTTCAAGATGAGATTTCACTTCTGAAGGATGATTTGCTAACTGTCAGAGCCAAATCAGAGGACTTGGCTTCCTCAAATGAAAATCTTCATGAAGATATTAGCTTTGTGCAGGGTAAGTTGGCTGGTATATTGGTATCTTATGAGAAGGAACTATCTCTTCTATGCAATTCCTCTTGCCGTGAGTTGGAGTTCAGGGATATAAGAGGTCTCACCATGCAACTGGAAGAGGTTCAGCATAGTGCGTGTAGAAAGATTCTTCATCTTATGCAGGAGAAGCAAAATCTAGAAAGTGAAAAATTAGTTGCTGAGTTATCCTTGTCTGCTAGTAGATCAGAAATAATTGCCATGAGGCAAAAGTTTAAAAATGATATACAGAGGATTGTAGCTAAATTTGATGTATCAACTGCCCTTGTGGAGAAACTTCAGGTTGAACTTGAATCTGTGACCAATAAACTTCACCTTACCTCTGAAGTTGAAGAAAATTATGCACAACAGAACAGAGAGCTTCTGGTTGATCTTGCTGCCTTTGAAGTCGAGTTACAAAATGTAGTATCGAAGAATGGGCATATTGCTCAAGAGATCTTGGGCTTGGACTCTGTAGCTGACGAGCTTGAGCAAAATGAGTTAACCATTTGTGAACTAAGACAAGAGAAGGAGGATCTCATGACCTCTCTACACGACAAGGCTGAGGAATTTGCCAAGCTCACTTCAGAAGTTAGTCATCTGAAAGTCAATTTGAGAAGTCTGCAAGATGAATTGCAACTCGAGAGAGGTCTTAAGGATAAACTAGAGGGTTCAGTAAACGAGAAGGATGGCAGGTTACTGGATTTGGAAAAGCAAATTGCTGAACTGGTGCAGTTCAGGCAACTGGCATCAGAGTTAGAGGTTGAGAAATGTAGACTTAGCCATCTTTTGCAGCAGCATGATGAGCATGCAGCAAAGCTTCAGGAAGAGTTATCCTGTGTGTCTGGTCTAGAGGGCTCTGTGAGAGATCTTGCCTCCCAATTGAATGAGAAGGATGGCAGGTTATTGAAATTGGAAAAGCAAAATGCTGAGCTGGTGCATTTCCGGCAGCTGGCATCAGATTTAGAAGTGGAAAAATCTAGACTTGATCAGCTTCTGCAGCAGCGTGATGAGCATGCGGCAAAGCTTCAGGAAGAGTTGTCCTGTGTTTCTGGTTTAGAGGGGTCAGTTCAAGAACTTACTTCTCAACTGAATGAGAAGAATGACAGGTTACTGGATTTAGAAAAGGAAAATGCTGAACTGGTGAATCTCAGGCAGCTGGCAGCAGATTTAGAATTGGAGAAGTGTAGACTTGACCAACTTGTGCAGCAGCGTGATGAGAAGGTGGCAAAGCTTCAGGAAGAGTTGTCCTGTGTTTCTGGTTTAAAGAGCTCAGTTCAAGATCTTACTTCTCAACTGAATGAGAAGAATGACAGGTTAGTGGATTTGGAAAAGCAAATTGCTGAACTGGTGAATCTCAGGCAGCTGGCAGCAGATTTAGAAGTGGAGAAATGTAGACTTGACCAACTTGTGCAGCAGCGTGATGAGCATGTGGCAAAGCTTCGTGAAGATTTGTCATGTTTTTCCGGATTAGAGGGCTCAGTGCGAGATCTTACTTCTCAATTGAACGAGAAGAATGACAGGTTACTGGATTTGGAAAAGCAAAATGCTGAGCTGGTGCATTTCAGGCAGCTTGCAGCAGACTTAGAAGTGGATAAATGCAGACTTGACCAACTTGTGCAGCAGCATGATGAGCATGTGTCAAAGCTTCAGGAAGATTTGTCGTGTGTTTCTGGTTTAGAGGGCTCAGTGCGAGATCTTACCTCTCAACTGAACGAGAAAAATGACAGGTTACTGGATTTGGGAAAGCAAAATGCCGAGCTGGTGCATTTCAGGCAGCTTGCATCAGAGTTAAGACTGGAGAAATCTAGACTTGACCATCTTTTGCAGCAGCGTAATGGGCAAATGGAAAAACTTCAGGAAGAGCTTTCCAATGTTTCTGATCTTAAAAGGCATATGCTAGAAATACAAGAGTATGCCATAGTTTCTGATGTTAAGTTCACAGTTGCCATGAGCCATTGTGAAACACTGGATCTGGAGCTTGTGCGGCAGCTTAAATCATCAGATGGGTCCATTGCCGAGCTTCAGAGAAGATGCGATGATTTGCAGACCAAGTTGAATCAATGCCTTGCAAGTGAGGCTTGTTCGATTCAAGAAAACAAGGAGTTGCTAAGAACTCTTTGTGCTGTTAGATCTGATTTTGAAGCTTCTATTGCTCAAAGTAATGTTCTTTCAGATGCCAAGAACGTTAGCACAGTGAAACTTGAGGAATGCAAGAAGGAGATGGTAATGTTGGAGGATTCTCTCCTCGAGACTAATAATTTTCATGTTCGAGAAGTGGAGAAGTTGAAGTACATGCTGGCAAATGCCGAAGAAGAAATTAATCACTTGTTACTCTCCAAGGAGGAACTGGAGATCAAGGTGATTGTGCTCCAAGGCAAATTAGATGAACCGCACCCCTACACGATTTTACAGGAGAACAACAGAGATGAAGTGGTCACCTTACAGTTACAGTGTAATGAGCTTACCCAGAAGTGTAAAGAGCTAAGTCACAAGTTCTCTGAGCAGGCCCTGAAGACGGAAGAATTCAAAAACTTATCCATCCATTTGAAGGAGCTCAAGGATAAGGCTGATGCAGAATGTCTCCGGGCTCGCGAGAAAAGAGAATCTGAAGGGCCACCAGTTGCTGTGCAAGAGTCCTTGCGAATAGTCTTTATTAAAGAGCAATATGAATCAAAATTCCAAGAGTTGAGACAACAAGTTTCCATCTCCAAAAAGCATGGAGAAGATATGCTTTTGAAGTTACAGGATGCATTAGATGAAATTGAAAGCAGGAAGCGATCTGAAGCTTTGCACTTGAAGAAGAATGAAGAACTAGCTCTCAAAATCTTGGCGTTGGAATCCGAATTACAGTCTGTGCTTTCTGACAAGCGTGAAATAATCAACGATCATGACAGAATAAAGGCAGAATTGGAGTGTGCTTTGCTAAGTCTAGAGTGTTGCAAGGAAGAAAAAGACAAACTTGAAATATCTTTGCAAGAACGTGTGAGAGAGAACTCCAGAATTGCAGCTGAACTTACTTTGACTATGGAGCAGCTGGAGAATGTCACATCTTCTATTGTATCAACGAGAGAAAATGGCCAGATGGACAAAGTTGAGCTTGCACCTAATGAGTCAAATGTAAATCCTTCTCCTGATGCCACGCCTCAAGGAGATTCATCTGATGTCCAGAATGTCAAGGAAACAACCTTATTTATGAATGGTAGAAGTGAAGAATCAAGCTCACCAGTGAAACTTCTACTCACTCCGGTAAGCTCTCTGATAAGAACCAGAACTGATATGGTAGTTGATACAGAATGTTCTTTTTTTCTTTTGAGAAAAGGTAAGTATGTAGTTGATGTGGAATGTTTTCCTGAAAATCTTATTTATATACGCTCTTTTGGGCTACATAAAGCAGAAATGTGGTAATAAACATACCTATGCTATCTACACCCACCAAGTATATAGTAAATAAACCCACCAACCCACCTTGTCGTGAGCGTGAGTCTGTAAAAAAGCCAGCGTTAGTTTTCAAATGTTTTTATTTCATTTACATTTTATCTATGTACGAAAGGAAGAACAGGAAGAAACAGCCATCGCTTCCTTTGCATTTGCAAGCTAGCATCCATGATTTTATAGATTTTTGCAGTCTTCAACAGCTATCCAAGCCTGTGAGACTTATCCTCAACTTTGCTGGAAAACCATCTAGGATTTTGCATGGCATAAAAGCATAACCAACATGTCAAGGAATAAAAGGTATTAAGACATGATCTATGCTGGCTAGGACCTAGGGTACTTGGAAGGAATAGGAAGAGTTATAGCATTAAACTTGCAATTTAAATATAGAAACAAAGGCAGCGGTACATAAAATAAAGAGATTCTGTTCAACTATGTGCATTACACTTTTCTTCCACGTGGATGAAAGTCATATAGCCCATCTATCCAAGACATGTAAAAATTGTAAACAAATTTAAAGAAGGAAAGAAAGATGAAAGACCTTATAGTTTAATATTTGAGTTTAGGTGTATATGTTGGTGGGCCGACAAGTTATATGCCTATTGGATTTCTAGTTTTAATCTAGTGAATCTACACTTTCCTAGTTGAATGACTTCAGTGGTTAAATCAATCTAATTCAGTAAATCCCTGCTCTTGCATTTCATCCCATAGAATCCTTTGATTTTTGAAGTGCTTTTTTTTCATCTTTTACCAGGATGCTGCATTAACAGCTGTTGAAGGTTACTCACCACCAAGCAATGGAAGGCATTTAGATTTCAGCAATGAACTGTTTGGAAGCAGGAATTTGAGGTCTAGCATGGAACATTTACACGAAGAGGTATTCTTTGTAACTTACAAATTTGTTGATCCAACTGGGATGGCAACAATCAGATTATAAATTATACTTGGTGGTGCCAATAGAAATTTTTTTTCTTTTACTTGCGCTGCAGTTGGAAAGGATGAAACGTGAAAACTCTCTCATTCCTGAGGACCAACATTCTGATCCAGGTTTTGAAGTTTTTCAGAGCGAACTCGTGCAATTACACAAGGTATACTGAAGTGACTTGTATATATTATAGCTAAGAAGGAACTAAACCTTTTGCTTTTTGCCTTTTAGATGTAAAATATTATAGCACCTTAGTGCTGATTTCAATGAAAATGACCTCTTTTACGGCTAAAAACGAAGAAGTTAGCTTGTATATACGATAGTTGAATATTTCATTGTGCCTCTGATCACTGTTTATCGTGATTTTTAATCTGGAAGGCAAATGAAGAGCTCCGAAGCATGTTCCCAACATTCAAGGATATAGCTAGCACTGGTAATGCACTAGAGAGGGTACTTGCGCTGGAAATTGAGCTTGCTGAAGCATTGAAGGCAAAAAATAAGTCTAGTATGTTCCAGAGGTAGGATGTTGCAATTACTTTCATCATTGCCTGCTTAATTAGCCCTAGCAGATACTTCATTCTGCCACTCTTTTACTCAATTTTTTTAGTACATCTCTCCATTCGTGATTTCACATTGTTCAATCAACATAATAAATAACAACTGCCACGGTGTCCCCTGCTTAATTTTGGGCAGGGTCGGGGGAAGGGCCGCACCCAAAGAGGTGTCTTACCCTGATGCAAGCATTAGTGGCTGCTTCCAGGCCTCGAACCCGTGACTTATAGACAACTTTACCCTGCTTAATTTTGCATGTTGCTAAATTGATTTTTCCAGTGCTAACACTTGTGATTACTGTTTATGATAGATCCATTGCTGCAATTCTATGCTAACATCAGATTATGGCTTTCTGAAGACTTCTTCCGTAGCTTCTAAATAGGACTGAGAATTACTAATGAAGTTCCAATAATCCATATGTTGGTTGCATATATAAAATCTGTAAATCATGTTCTACAGCAATTCCTTGAAGCATTTCCTAGGTCTATCTACCAAGACACTAAACATAATTATTTTCTTAATCTGCTTGCATGTCAATGAGCAGCATCCAAAGCTGCCAAATCATCCGTTTATGTGTTTCACTTGAAAACCTACTAGAGATGTAACTCTTTAGAAGTGTTTTGCTGTTATTGTTGTTACAATGAAAATGTTCTGTTTTGTTGGATTTCAGTGCTCTATGTGATGATATTTCGTCCTTGGAATAAATAACAATAGAAGTGACAGTTTGCTGTTTATCTATGCTTCAGTTCGTTTCTGAAACAACATAGTGATGACGAAGCAATCTTCAAAAGCTTCAGAGACATTAACGAGTTGATCAAGGAAATGTTGGAAATTAAAGAAAAGCATGTAGCTATGGAGAATGAACTTAGGGAGATGCACGATCGATACTCCCAGCTAAGCCTCCAGTTTGCGGAGGTTGAAGGCGAGAGACAAAAACTGAAGATGACTCTCAAGAATGTCAGAGCATCCAAGACGAAGCTCGTGCAGCTAAATCGTTCCTCATCGTCCATAGTAGACAGTCCATCATAGCCACTCTTTGAATCCATTTCTTCATAAGCTCTCTGTGAGTAGATGCCAACACGTCTCATGTTAGCGCTATAAGTTGGTTCAGTTTTATGGACTGGCTTGCCAAGATAAGCTCCAAATATTGAGGAACCAATCCCGCAAGCTGCCTTGCTTCTATGTAAATGTTAAAATGTGGCTGTCAAATTTTGTCACCCTTCTAAGTTAAGTGTAGATCTAGATATCCCATATATTATAGCCTCATTTCCCATTTTTACCTGTATTTGGCTGTAATATTATGTATAGAAATTAGATTATCCTGTAATTAACACTGCTGCTTCTACTTTAAGCCGTGTAAGAGGCGTCAAGATTTGTCATACTGAGCTGCTTTGTCTATAATTGTGAAGATTTCCCTTCCAATGTGGGTAACTCCCTGTGATACAGCTTACACATTGTAATGTAAGCTGGAATTTGACTTGCATCTTGTTACTAGAGCAGACAGAAGTAAGACCAGTTTGGTTTTAAAGTTTTAACACCTAAGGGTGTGGTATAATGATCAGTGATAAGGTACGACCATACTATGTAGAAATGACAATAACTATATCTCAATTCCAAAAACTATATCTCAATTCCAAACAAGATAGAGTCGGCTATACGAATCTCCACTGTCCATGTTTATAAATCATATCCTACGTGGAAATTAAATAACAACTACGTCAGTTACAAACAAGTTATGAATCTCCATTTTCCATGTTTTCCCAAGCAATATATTGGCATAGTCGATTTCATGCCATAGACATTAGAGCTTCAATAACAGAAGAAATAGCGTAACAAGGTACAAATGCCTGAATGTGGAATCAAATGAAATCAAACCATCTATGATTTTCAACAGTTCTTTAGTGCTTCTTGTAACTAGTTTGCCCCCAATACCCCACCCCACCTGAAAAAGAAAGTAAATTTTTTACATCTTTCCACAGAAGTTCCTACACAGCAATGGCACCAATCCCTTTTTGCCTTCTAGATTACCAAGCTGAAATCTAAAGGTAATACAATGAAAAGAGAAGGAAAAAAGGTAAAAGTAAAGAGCTTCAATGATATTTGATCTTCGAATTTTGTCATTCGAATTTTGTCATTTCATATCTTCTTGGATTCCAGTAACGTTCAAGATACTTCTTAAAGCATCCAAAAGTCCCGCTAGTGAAAAACCCACGAGCTATGGGATATTACTAAACTTGGAGTAATTCTTGTTATCTGGTCAGATGGATCACAATATTGTGCATCCACAGCCGCCTTTCTTCAGGGAATCGTCCTGCAGTTTATCTGTGACAAATGCATGAACAATTTATTCAGTATG